AGATGAAGGTGTGATTTCTCTCCCCTCCCCCATTTGACAGTGACCTTCCAAATAAATCAGATCAATTCATGGAGTCCTTTCCTCTTTTTACCTGGATAGAACAAAATTAAAATTCTCATTCTGAATCCGTCTTTACCTTAAGTGAGCAGCAAACATTTCATCGTATGGTGGCTCCAGAACTTGTTGACATTTGTCTTCTGGAGATGGAAGCTAATTATAGAATCAATGGAACATTAAATGTATAAAATTCCATAAAAACATGCATTTTTTATCAAGCTAGTATTTTTATACATACAAGCCTTAGCTATATATTAGAACATTAACAGTCATGCTCATTGTAGAGGAAAAGTGGAAAATTAAAGAGAACCAATGTTAAGGAAATGGGGAGGGAAGGGAAAAATCATGTCGTGGAACAAGATAAAGAGAGAAACAAAGGAAAGAGAGAAACTAAACCAGAAAGGTGTGCTGCTCTGGCTTATTAAACAACAATTTTTTCAATAAAAGGATATCTATGACAGAGCAAAAAGAGACAGTACAGACAAAAAGGGAAGGGGAAAGAACAAGAGACGTTTAGATTAGTGACAATGATAGAGTTCACTTCTCAGATACTACAGTGAAGTATAAAAACCTGAACAGAATAGAATTTCCATGTTTCATTGTATTTCTCTGGACAGCATCCTACAATTGTGTTGTGGCGGGAAAGAGAAGAGATGCATGCTAATAGCAATAGTCGCTAATGGAATTCATGTCATATTGCTGCTTCAGTTGACCTTGGGTTATATGTGCACAGTTTTTAAAAATTGCATATAACACCATTAAGTCTTACAGAATTTTAAAAGAGGTTTTAAACCAACCGAAGTAATTTTATAATATGTCATTCTCTGTTGAAGTCTATAGCTTATTTAAACATTCTATAGATAAAATATAACTTCATTAAACTCTGTAATCTTTTGAAGAGGGATTTTCTACAGAACTGTTGCTCGCTTTTACATTTTGTAGGATGTTTGTTCTTATAGAGGAAAAAAAATTGTTTCCCCTAACTATTCCTAACTAGGCTCTCCTTTCTGGAGCAAGAGAGTTTGGGTTTGTTTTGTGGGGGATTTTTTGCTTACATACATGTTATGCACACTACTCTTTTCTGTGTTAATTTCTTCAGAACTACCGGAATATTTCCATCTCAGACCCCAGAAATTTCATGCAAATGAGCAAATTCCTGGACCCTTTCAGAGCCTCTCTGAAGTTAATAGAAGTCTGCCTGTGCAACTCACCTTTCAGCATAGGTGCTGACTTTTGGTTTTGCTGGTGGGTGCCCCATCCTGGCCCCACCCCCACTCCACCCCACCTCTTCCTGCCCCCGCTCTGCCTCCTTCCCTTAAATCCCCGCCCCTGCGGGCCTCCCACTCACTCCTTTCTGCCCCCTCCTGCCTTAAGGGCGAGGTATGCGTGTTGAGGGGGCAGAGGGGGGGCTCAGCCTCCCTCCCCAAACTGGCAATTTTCAGCATATTTATACATTTCTTTCATATTCTAGTTATTGAATGTGTGTCTATCATTGGTATCTTAATGTAATCATTATTAAAACAGTAATGAACTACATAATTACATTATCATGAATTACAGAATATTAAAATCATTACACTCAGCTACAAGCTGTCTTCACTAACAACCCAGTTTAAAGACATTGCATTCCCTCTGTGCTTCACACCTGCTTAGGGCCAGTTTGAGAGCTGAGGGCCACTGATGGCTATGGGAAGAAGGCATATTGGCGGGACAAGCAGTGGGGAGTCTTTCTCCTCTCCCTTCCTCTTTCTTTTCTCCTTTCCTATCACTCTCCCTGCACTTCTCCCTCTCTCGTTTCTTCTCTAAGTCCTTGCTCCCCTTCCTGATGTTCCCCCTTCTTGCTTCCCACCCATGTCCCTTCTCCCCATCTCTCTCTCTCTCTGCTCCCCACCTCCTGGAGGCTCTAGGCTCCTGCCGGGTTCCAGGGCTTTTCCTCCCCTTAATCTGCCAATGCACCCATCAGCCCTAGCCTAGCTGGGCTCCCTTGAGTCACCTAATGCCTGCTGTGGCCAGAGTCGAGCCTGGCAGGAGAAACCATACAGGTGGACACCATGGCCACCAGCCCAAGAAGTGTGTGCGGGGTGACCCCAGGTAAGCAGGGGCTGGCTGCACTGCTGCTGCTAGTCCGGCCACCCACCCCTAACCCTAAGGCTTTTTTTTTTTGGTTGGGTAAGGCTCACTCAGCCCCTGCTGGAGCAGGGGGTGCGAAACAGCTGACCTGAGCCTGCCTGCCAAACAGCTGATTGCAGCTGCGCCCAGGCAGCCCATACCAAACAACTCATCTGCAGAGGCACCCCCACAACAGCGGATACCTGGCTGCCAACAACTGGCCATCCCGGTGGGTGGTGAGCACCCCCTATTTTTTTTTCCATGGGTGCTCCAGCCCCGGAGCACCCATGGAATCGGCACCTGTGCCTTGCAGGATTGGAGCCTTGGTTTGTTAGTGCAACTAATTCTTGTACCTGAAGCCTGGGGTTTGCAACATGAGGATGCTTAAATGACACCAATTCTGCACAAAACAGTCCATCTCTGGAATCAATGGCTTCCAGAACCTATACAAAAAAATTACAGAAAAAATTACACACATTAAGGAACAAGATCTAGCCTTAGCTATGTAACACATATTGCCACATATCTAATGAAAATCATCCTCTTATGACATTTGCATTCTTGTCAATGACCCTGCAAATATTAATTTCTCATATGTTATTCCCAAGAAGTTTTAGTTTGGAAGAGAGACATTAAAAATTCAACAGGAAAAAGCCAGACACCTTTATTTTTCCTTAGTTGTACAAAGTGTCTCAGATCAGTGACCTCACAAGGCAATTATATGGGTCCACTGTCTTTCGTTGGCAGTAGTTATACAGAATTTAGAAACTTTGTATAACAACAATAGACAGACTTCAATGAAGAAAAAGTACACTTGCAGTCATAAACCAAGTTTTGAATATTTTACACTGGAGTTGATGAAAGGAAGGAGAGTTTGGATTTCATTAATAAGGATTCTTAAATGTATTTCATATACATATTAGTATTTAACAACACAGCCCAATCATAAAAAGACTAATCCTGCCTTCCCTACTCAGAAAAATCTTCCCCTTTAATTCAAGGGGAAGTTTTTCTGAAGTCAGAACTACAGTACTGGACCCAGAGCATATGTGAGTTCACAAAGAAGTCTGAGTTTTGGGTACGGATCGGATACAGGATTGGGCACATGGCATTATTCTTGTCTACACTATTCAGGGAAATGTATTCCCACTTCTAAATCAGCAGCAGAAACCAAATTAGTAAGGTCAGCTAAGACTTTCAATAAAGAAATAAAGCATTACTAAACAGTTAAGTATAGTCCACATACAATCAATGAGTTTAGTTCCATGTTGACTTTATCTTCAGAGTATGCTTTTTAAAAAAAAGACATTTGATGCAAAATTCTCAATAGAAAAATCTAAAAATATGAAGAGAATTTAGACAATAAAAGATAGCATAACTTTGTTATTGCAGTTAAGAAATGTGACAACAGAGCTAGAGATTTAAGGTTCCAGAATGTCCTATCATGATCAAATATACTGCAATGCAAGGATTATTTAAAGGGACATGACCAATTTAAAAATACTTTCTTTTTACAGTTTTACTTCATGCATTTGACAAAATGTTGTGAACAGTCATTTCACTGATTATTATATTAAATTTCCTATGGTTTTGTGGGTCTGTCACTCAACAACAGCTGGGGAAAAACCTTTTCTAAAGATATAAAAACATGACTGATAAGCCACAGAAATTGGGAAAGGGATCTGGGCAGCTAATATTTAATTTTTGGCTCCTTTTGCAGAACTGACCAAATGTGACATGTCTCATTAAGGTGCTTAAATAAGAGTGTGCATTACATTTGACAAGGAAGGAACCTTTATAGCAAGTATATTTGGGCCTTGATCCTACAATCGCATCCATTAATGCAGACCCCAGCATCTGTGCAAAGCCTCACTGGGTATGTTTACACTGCAGCTGGGAGCAAATCTCCCAGCCAGGGTAGACAGCCTCATGCAAGCAGAGCTTGAGATAACTTACTAAAAATAGCAGTATGGAAGTTGTGGGTCCAGCAGAGAATTGGGCTAGCTTCCCCATCTCAGACGCGGGGGAGGGGGGCTTGAGAGCCTGGACTACCCTCTGTGCTACACCATCCACGTTGGTGTTTTTAACGCGCTAGCTTGAACTGAGTTAGTATGTGTGTCTACTTAGGCTGGGAGGCTCACTCTCAGCTGCAGTATAGACATGCCCACTTCGTAAAGATGCCACAGCCCAAACTAACAGATCCTATCACACGATTGGGGTCTACATATTTATACAGGCCCTGCATTTTCAAGCGCCATATGAATGTTACTTTGTTTTCATAACAGTCTTAGGAGAAGCTTACCTAATTATCACCTCCCATACTCTCGGTTGCCTTTTCTTGAACAGGGCAAGTTATCTGTAGTATGGAGAAAAACAGGCAATGGTGGTGGCAAATAAAATCCACTTACCTGCTGCAAATACTGGTTGATGGTGATGTGCGCCATGGACAGACCAGCGGGCCAGGCAAGTGCTAAAGATCAAGCGCGGGGCGTGTCCTGTGCGGCCAAGGAAACAGAAGCGTCACCGCGAAACGAAGTTATCACGACAGTCTTAAATCCACCCGCGTCTCCACCTCCCCGCGGGGCCAGCGAGGGGCTTCCCTCAGCTCAGCCCGGAGCAGCCCCCGCAGACCAAACCCCCCTGAGCGGAGCCAGACACGGGCGGCTGCACCAGGCACAGGCACAGCAAGGGGGATGGCGGTTTCCCAGGACGCGCTTCACTCTCCCCCACACCCACTAACCCGGCTCGCAGCGCCGCTCCCGCCTCACTCCAGCACACCACGTGGGCGGGGCAAACGCTCGACACTTCCATCTCGCGCACGGCGCGCCAGCCTTGCGTGAGTAACGTGACGCGGGCGGGGCAAGCCGCTCACGTGATGATCCCTCGTAGAGCCCCGCCCCGCGCGACCCGTTGGGTAAAAGTGGACTAGCTGTTACTGTTCGTCCTGCAGAGTGGGGCGGGCGCTTGGGGCCTGATTCTTCTCCCGCGGAGAGGGCGGGACTATGAGACGAGCGTCACGCGCCCCAGCTGAACGTAGCGTTTCGCCTGCTACGGGGTAGCCCGGCCGGGCTAAAAGCGCTCTCCGGCCCTAGTGACTGCTGTGCGTGCCAGTGCTGCTCCCGCACGCTGCCGGGAGGGCGCGTCTCTGAGGTGCCTGTAGCTGCAGCGAGCTGGGAGGGCAGCTGGCTCAGGCAGGGGTGCTGGAACTGGGGGTGCAGGAGCACCCTGGCTTGACGTAATAATAACCAAATACATGGTTCATAGTTTTGTACAGTGGCTTTCAGCACCCCCCCACCCCATAATAATTGTTCTAACATCCCTATATGCAGCCTTGTAGCCATATTGGTCCCAGACTATTAAAGAGAGAAGGTGAGTTAAGACCGTGGCTAGCAACCTTTCCAGACTACTGTACCCCTTTCAGGTGTTTGATTTGTCTTGCGTACTCCCAAGTTTCACCTTACTTAAAAACTACTTGCTTACAAAATCAGACAAAAATACAAAAATGTCACAACACACTATTACTGAAAATTGCTTACTTTTTCATTTTGACCATATAATTATAAAATAAATTAATTTGAATATAAATATTGTACTTAGTGTATCATTTATAGTGTAGTTTAAACAAGTAATTACACTGGTCTACAATTTTT